GGTCACTGAAAGACACCTCCATTTTAGTAATCATTTAAACGACAATTTCTTGTCATTTGTGAGACAATTAGTGTTGCAATGAGTGCTCCTATTGTGTGATCACTGCCACCACTCATCCCACATGTCACCCATTCATCACTAATCACTTGATATGTCTCTCCGACCCACTCATTGACCCCGTCTTCAGCACCAAAAGCTTACAACACTTACGCCACAGACAAAGACCACAAGACTTATGGATTATTGGGAACCGATCCACACTTGCCTCAGGTTTGCATCGCTTATCACATTTCACACATTGTTTTCACATCTCATAAGTGCCTGACCCAAGGGTCAGTGCCGTAGGTGTGCCCCACGTATGGGTGCTATTCATATGATATGACTTATATCGGGCACTCATTCATGAGCGTCCATTCAATCATTCAATCTTTCATTGCTTTCTTTGCTCTGAGTTTGTGTTTCAATCTCTTTATTGCAGTTATTATTGAAACATATGAAGCAAACAAACCAAACTTATTATGAGCACTCAATGTTTGTACAGATTGTCATGTATTGTGTGACTGCCGAGGAATGTACTCAAGTCATAGTAATGGTCATAATGAGAGATAGTATGGATTGAGTGAAACTACCACTCAATCCTCAATCAGTGCTCAAGACTACAATCAATGGCTAAGAAGTAGTGATAGTCTGATAAGTAGAGCATTAAAGCAGTGATTCTTAACTCTGGTATTGCTTTAAGGCTTAACCGATCATTCAATGCATTATTAGTTACACTGTTTTACTAACCATTCATTCATTCACTCACTCTTTACTTTACAAACAATTTTATAATTGCTTTGAAAAGTCTATAAATAACTTATAAACTGCGAAATACTTCATACGATATACAATACACTATTAGCCGATTTTGTTACAACTATACAATTGAATAAATATGAAATATAAATGAATAAAATGACAATTAATTGAATTTTAAATCTTAATCAGTGCTTAATCTTATATAAGTTAATATGAAAAGATATTTTTAATTTTATATAAAATATCAATTTCAATCTAATGTTTAGTGATATAAAGCAAATCTTATATAATAAAAGTTGGTTTTAATTATGTTTTTATACTTTTTTGATGACATTTTAGTTAATTTACGCGAATTTTTCATTTCAGGTCTTCACTAATGTTTGCCATAAAAACCAGAAACTCTTGAATCTCTTAATGACGACATTATCGACAAAATGAACAAATTTTATACGTTTTTAATATTTATTGTAATAATTCTCATAAATGACACACTTTTAGCAAAAGGCGGTAAGTTTTGACTCTTATATAACTTTAACTCATTTCCACACAATTAGTCATTTTCTTGAAATTATATGAATATATAATGAGAATTAGAAAACTATTTTATTTTTGGACATAATTTGAAAATAAAAGAAACACACCTAAGAATATACAGTATGTGTTGAAAGTGTGTTAATATGAATACATGTATTACAGCACCGGATCCGCCACGAGAGCTGACAATTGATGTTCAATCGGGTAAATCAGTTGAACTCGAATGGAAACCACCCCTGAAAGGGGGAGTCAGTAGCTATAAGTTGGCTATCGTTCCGCTGTCAGAACAGGACGAGACGGGAGTTCGCAATCTCGAAGTCGGTGCCAACGATGCCTTTCCCGTTGCCATTAGGGATCTGACACCCGGTGCCTCATACGAAGTGCAGTTACACTCAGTTTTGTTGAGTAAGCCGTCGAATGTGTTTCTGTCGGCTAACTTCACGACCAAACCTAACACTCCGGGAAGGTTTATAGTGTGGTTCCGGAATGAGACAACACTACTGGTGCTATGGCAGCCCCCATACCCGGCCGGCATTTTCGATCAGTACAGAGTGAGTATCGTTCCCGAAGACGCCACCCAATCCGTGCTGTACGTCGAGAAGGAGACAGAGCCTCCCGGGCCAGCACAGGCCGCTTTCTACGGACTCATACCCGGCAGAGCTTACAATATATCCGTCCAAACTGTGAGTCACTCGCAAGTGAGTGATCCCACAGAAGCTCAATACAGAACAGTTCCACTTCCGCCCACTAATGTCACGTTCGACCGGAACACCATCTCTTCGTATTCGTTTGATGTCCACTGGAGTCCTCCCAAGTCTTCCTCAGAGTTTGATAGATATCAGGTGTCATTAGGTGTCAGAAACTCTTTGCCTAAAATTGTGATCAAAGACGAGCCCAGAATTGGCCACTTTTCTGAGGACTTGGATCCGGGAAAGACATACGAAGTAGTTGTCAAGTCTGTGTCGGGAAACGTGGCCTCTTGGCCCGTGTCCGGCAACATAACTACCCGACCCCTGCCTGTCATGGAGCTGACAGCTCGGCCGGGAGAGGCGTCCGATATTATTCTGGAGTGGAAGGCCAACAATGAGAGCACTCAGGACTCATTTATGGTGACATACCATGAACTCGAAGCCTACAATTCGGACGGTTCGGTGCAAGTAGTGAAGGACACTCACCTCCATTTGGCGAGTCTATTGGCCGGTCGTAACTATTCCATAGCAGTGGTCGCTATTTCCAAGAATGTCTACAGCGAGAACACTGTCATCTATCAGCCCACACGACCTGCCAGTCCTGTGATCGGTGTCGTCGAACCCATATCTGGCCGAACTCTGAACGTCTCGTGGAAATGGGACGTCACCTCAAAACAGGACTCATATAAGATTGTGTGGACTCGTAGTGACACCAAAGAGAAGAAGGACTCAGTTATCAAAAATAATTGGCTTCTTCTCGAAGATCTCTATCCCGGAGCCGGTTATGAAATCTCAGTGTCGGCCATAAGCTATGGACTCATGTCTGAGCCGCACTCCTATTACCAGACAGTCCTTCCCCGTTCGCCAGAGAACTTCCAAATCTCAAAGCATTCAAACTCTTCGCTGAGTCTGACGTGGAGTTCCCCGAAAGAGTCTCTCGTCGACCACTATATCGTTCGCTACCGTCCCGTCGCTAACAACGCGTGGCGTGAATTGACTCCAATTAACACCACTTCCTGTGAAATCAAAGATCTGACGGCCGGAGAGAGATATATAGTTAGAGTGGCGTCGGTTAGCAATAAGGCTGAGAGTCCAGACATTCGTGAAGTCGAACAAACACTTTCACCGAACCCTATATTCGATGTCAAACACACCATTGATTCTCACAATATATCATTTCAATGGTTAGTTCCCTCCGGAAGAATAGATTATTATAACATTGTCTACAATACCGTCAAAGAGCCCACAAAACAAGAGTCCAAACAAATCACTGCCACTAATGACACCGAAATGATGACAGTTTTAATAGATTCTCTTAAACCGGGAGAACAGTATTCTTTCAGATTCTATGTCATCAGTCATAAAGTCAGGAGTGAAGGCATTGGTCTACAAATCAGAACAAGTATTTCCACTCATTATCTCATTATCTCTTGAGTTTAAGATCTTTTGTTAAATATTTGTTTTTGTCTTTTAGTGCCAGTAATTGATTCGGTAATCAATGTTGTGATCGATGAACACGAGACCAAAGTATTGCGAATTAAATACACTCCCACTCCCACACGGAATGTCGTGTTTGATAGGTATCGGTTCCAATTGAGTGGCACTAGTATCCCGGCACAGGAAAAAATGTTTAACGATACAAATAGACTCGTCATATTTGATAACTTAGTTCCCGGCCGTCTCTATAACCTAAGTATTTGGACAGTGAGTGGCGGCACGTCATCCATACCTATCCAACGACAGGCGCGTCTATATCCAGAACCCATTCGCTCGATATCGGCGTTGTCTGTGACCGACAATCAGATAACCCTGTCGTGGGAAGTGCCGTATGGGGACAAAGATGGCTATGAAGCCCAGTATTTGGATCCACACGAGAAGAGTCTTGTGGTTAACGTAACCTTTTCGGAGAAAATCGATTACTTAAGCCTCAAACCACATAATAATTACACCTTTGTTGTGACCACTCTTTCGGGTTACGGAACGCCAACAATGCTTAGGAGTTCTCCCGTTTCCCAGACATTCCTGACACTAGAATCAGTTCCGGGAAAAGTGGCGTACTTTCAACCGGTAGATGTGAAGCCTAATGAAGTGACTCTTCAGTGGTCACTCCCGGCATCCGAAATGAATGGAGTTCTGACCGGATATAAGATTAGTTATTATATTAAAAGCAACCCTATTATGAAACACCAGTTGTTTGAAGCGACCGAAACTCAGGGAACTATTTATAATCTAATTCCTGAGCATCCGAAATGAATGGAGTTCTGACCGGATATAAGATTAGTTATTATATTAAAAGCAACCCTATTATGAAACACCAGTTGTTTGAAGCGACCGAAACTCAGGGAACTATTTATAATCTAATTCCTGGCAAACTATACGTCTTTCAAATCCAAGCGCACACTAAAGTAGGACCCGGACATAAAGCCCTTTGTGAGCAGGTTATGCCCATATGGTCTGCACCCCCGCCCGCAGACAATGTGTTCCCCACAGAAGTGGCGCATACGTCCACCTCTATTAGGATTAGGTTCAGAAAGAACTACTTCTCCAATATGTATGGACCCGTCAATGCGTTTGCAGTGATCGTAGCAGAGGATGACACGGTTCCGTCCAACCACTTGGATCTCCCCTCTTGGCACGACGTCCAGGAGTACTCTTCGTGGCCACCATATCAGGCAACCGAAGCCTTCTATCCCTTCAATGCAACTATTATTGAAGACTTCACTATCGGCGCAGAGGATTGTTCATCAAATAGTGGTCGCAAGTACTGCAACGGACCTCTAAAACCCGGAACTGTTTACAAGATTAAAATCAGAGCCTTTACGACATCAGAAAAGTTCACGGATACTGTCTACTCGTATACCATATCCACAGACCCCGACAATACCGCTCTCTATTTGGGAATATTTATGCCTTTAGTTCTGTTGGTATTATTGGTTGTAATCGTTGTTTATCTGAAACACCGAAGACTCGGACCCTTCAGTGCCACTAAAAAGACGAGTAATACTCATAACAATGGAAAAGAGGACACCCTTTCAATCGCCGAAAGCGAACTCATAACGAGTCGACCCATAAAACTGAAGGACTTCTCCGAACACTTCCGCATAATGTCAGCCGATTCTGACTTTAGGTTCTCCGAAGAGTTTGAACTTCTCAAACATGTCGGACGGGATAAGCCGTGCAATGCGGCCGACCTTCCCGTGAATCGACCCAAGAATCGGTTCACAAATATCCTTCCGTACGATCACTCGAGAGTCAAACTCTTGCCCACTGATGACGAGGACGGCTCTGACTTTATTAATTCCAATTACATCCCCGGGTATAACAGTCCCCGAGAGTTCATCGTAACTCAGGGACCACTTCACAGCACTAGAGATGACTTCTGGCGCATGGCGTGGGAACAGAACTCCAGAGCTATTGTTATGCTTACGAGATGTATAGAGAAGGGCCGAGAGAAGTGCGACCACTACTGGCCGTATGACACACAACCGTCCTTTTATGGTGACATTCAGGTGACCATTCTTAACGAATCGCAATATCCCGATTGGACTATCGCTGAGTTCAAAGTCATGAGAGTAAGTCATTGCCTGATCTATATTTTGTTAACTATTTTACTAATCATTTATTGTCTGTTTTGGTCAAAAGGGCGATCAGTCGAGAATTGTGCGTCACTTCCACTTCACCACTTGGCCTGACTTTGGAGTCCCAGAACCGCCTAAAACTTTGGTGAAGTTTGTCAGAGCTTTTAGGGAGAGATGCTCTCCAGACAGCAATAAACCGATTATAGTTCACTGTTCGGCAGGTGTGGGCCGATCCGGTACTTTCATTGCTTTGGACAGAATCTTACAGCGAATTATTAAATACGAATCCGTAGACATCTTCGGCATTGTCTATGAAATGCGCAGAGAAAGGGTCTGGATGGTTCAGAACGAGGTCAGTCTCTCTCTCTCTCTCTCTCTCTCTCTCTCTCTCTCTCTCTCATGATATTAATAATTGTTATGAATTGAATGACAGCAACAATACATATGTATTCACGAGTGCCTTCTCTGTGTACTGGAAGGCAAAGAAGATCTGATGGACTCTCCAAGACTTGAAATGCATGACAACCAGGGTTTCGAAGGTTTGATTTAATTATTATTTATTAAATTTTTGTGAATTAATTTAATGACTAAATATTATTGGAAAATATGATTACATTTACAGAAAGCGCCCAAAAAATTGAATTCTAAATAAACTTTCTAAACACCAAATAAATACATAATAATTGAATAAAGCATTTAATAAATCTAGTCATTTGTTTGATAATAATAATAGTGTCACTTTTATTAAATTAGATCTAAATATTTGAATTACTTATTATGAAAATGTGTCCAAAAATACGATTCATTGAAAACATTTGAAAATTGAAATAATATATAAAATTTGAAAACAAAGTAAAACACAAAAGGAATCCAATATTAGGACGAAGAGCGCGTCAAATGTTGGGCCAAATATTAAGAGTAATTAAAATATAACGTTATATTGAATTTGACACTTGTTTTAGTCATAAATTAGCGCTAAATTATTTATGCTTTATGTCAATACATTGTTACTATAATGCATTTTGTTTTAAGTTAAAACTTAATGTTATGCATTAAAACTTTTAACCCCAATTCGCTTATTATAATTTGCTAAATATGAAAAGTTTTTGTTTATAATACTACTGCACTGTATAATTAAAATGTAATTCAAAATATAGCAACACCTAGTGAAATTATATTTAAAACCCTTTAACATAATTAAATAGTGAAGTATTGTCAGTATTAAAAGAGTACTAACATTAATTGATCCAATCTAACAAATTAAGCTTGGCAATTGACTCATTCAGGCACACATTTATGTAATACAGATTTAATGTATGGTACAGATTTAATACTGTACGTATTCTACAAATAATCTAGATTATAGGCTACAGTTTACAATACGATGATTGTCATTGAGTTTGTTGTGAATATGTTTATTATAGTTAAGACATAATTGTGTATTTGTTTTCAGATGACGAGGGTATCGCCGAATCGGGAATTTAATCACTCGAAACCAATGTAAATGAATATGAATTGTAATTTTGTTTACTTAATTGGATGCAACTATTTCTCACAACTATCTCTCCATNTTCGAGTGATTAAATTCCCGATTCGGCGATACCCTCGTCATCTGAAAACAAATACACAATTATGTCTTAACTATAATAAACATATTCACAACAAACTCAATGACAATCATCGTATTGTAAACTGTAGCCTATAATCTAGATTATTTGTAGAATACGTACAGTATTAAATCTGTACCATACATTAAATCTGTATTACATAAATGTGTGCCTGAATGAGTCAATTGCCAAGCTTAATTTGTTAGATTGGATCAATTAATGTTAGTACTCTTTTAATACTGACAATACTTCACTATTTAATTATGTTAAAGGGTTTTAAATATAATTTCACTAGGTGTTGCTATATTTTGAATTACATTTTAATTATACAGTGCAGTAGTATTATAAACAAAAACTTTTCATATTTAGCAAATTATAATAAGCGAATTGGGGTTAAAAGTTTTAATGCATAACATTAAGTTTTAACTTAAAACAAAATGCATTATAGTAACAATGTATTGACATAAAGCATAAATAATTTAGCGCTAATTTATGACTAAAACAAGTGTCAAATTCAATATAACGTTATATTTTAATTACTCTTAATATTTGGCCCAACATTTGACGCGCTCTTCGTCCTAATATTGGATTCCTTTTGTGTTTTACTTTGTTTTCAAATTTTATATATTATTTCAATTTTGAAATGTTTTCAATGAATCATATTTTTGGACACATTTTGATAATAAGTAATTCAAATATTTAGATCTAATTTAATAAAAGTGACACTATTATTATTATCAAACAAATGACTAGATTTATTAAGTGCTTTATTCAATTATTATGTATTTATTTGGTGTTTAGAAAGTTTATTTAGAATTCAATTTTTTGGGCGCTTTCTGTAAATGTAATCATATTTTCCAATAATATTTAGTTATTAAATTAATTCACAAAAATTTAATAAATAATAATTAAATCAAACCTTCGAAACCCTGGTTGTCATGCATTTCAAGTCTTGGAGAGTCCATCAGATCTTCTTTGCCTTCCAGCACACAGAGAAGGCACTCGTGAATACATATGTATTGTTGCTGTCATTCAATTCATAACAATTATTAATATCACGAGAGAGAGAGAGAGAGAGAGAGAGAGAGAGACTGACCTCGTT